GCTGTTCTTCTAGAATAATTTCTATTCTAGTGCGTCGTTGTTGTCGAACAAAAGTGTCTATTGCTTGGGAGGTTGAAATAAGCCGGATAAGTCGGCTTACGAAAGTTAGAAAGAATAGAATAATTCTGAAATATTAATATGTAATACTAATACTAAAAAACATGTTCGAATGTCGCGCATGCCTGAAAATCTCGTCACTTTGACGATATTTATTTGCACAAACTGTTTCACATCAAAAATCCTATTACGCATTCACTAACTGTTTTATTTCTAGTGCTTACTCCTACCCAGCCGGCAGAACATTTTGAGATTTTGTATTTAACAACATTTGATTAAAAAATAATTTACTCATATTTAAAATAAAAGATGCGGCCCACATAATTCTTATGGCAATGCAATAGGACTGCTACAGGTAAATTCTACTGTTTTAAGTTATCATGTCTAACTTACGCGTATGTATCTGCAAGACTCGGATAGAGCTTTAACTAAGATCTTAATTGCATTAATTTATAAAATCAAATTATTAAAGTTGCATTTGAATACAATTAGCTTAAAAAGTTTAAAAAAAAAGAAAAAAGCGAGCATAAAAATGGACCTATGTAAATGTCTGCATACATATACAGCGGAGTAAAACTTGTATTAGAAAGAACTTGAGAACAACGTAACGCAACGCAACGGTGTCAAAAACGCTGTAAGGTTATTTGTGTGTTAAGTAATGTTAACGTTTGTTTTTCCCACTAAATGTTACATGCAACACCGTAAAAGAGAGATTGCTGTTTCCAATTCAAGATTAGTACGAGACAAGAGTTGAAGGTCAAAATACCATTGATTTGTTTTGAGGTCTTACCCTTAACTGCAAAGATATGATACGACGCTAACATTATAAACGCATTAAACGCTATCGACATTGATTATAACTGAACTTTATTCTTTAAACAGTAGTTATTTTCACAATATATTTTACTTTAAATTAACCAACACTGCTTTATTATTATATAATAACACTGATTAAGTGATTTAGCAAAAGTTTCTGAGATTTTAAATTGGGCGTAGTAATTAAAGCGTTCTTTTTCGTAATTGGTCAAGCCTTTTTCTCAAATGCAAATCTCATTTTGTGTTTGTGAATTATTTACATTAACTTTCACATGAATGTAAATGCTAAACTAACCAGTTTTATTACATTTTAAGTAGTCTATGATTTATCTTTTTAACATTAAATGAGATAAAATATTAGATTCAAGCATTTGGCATACTTGTGTACTTTGCCAGTAACAATAATCTTGTCTTGCGCTACTCTTGGGGAATTAAAAGCCCTATTTATATTGTCTTAAAGGTTATATAATGAGGTACCCGTACTCTTAGAGAGCTACCCCTCTAACACTTGCGCAGACCAGACAACAAAAACTAACTCAAAAAGGGCGAAGGCAGTTACTAAAATAACTATCGCTCTAGATAAAGAAATGAAACGAGAAAAAGAAAGGAAAAAAGCTAAGCCATATCATCTTTTTTCGTGGATTTTGCATTACCGGGAACAATTAAATACGTGGCATAAGTTATTATTATGCATTTACATTCATAAACTTTTTTCTGTAGCAATTAGATAATAATAAGAGATTGTTATTGACCAGAATTGCCGAAGATCTTCAATAATGCTAAGACATTCTGACAGCGCAGTCTTTTTGTTTACCAGATCTTTGAATATGACATCTCAGTTAGCGAAACTGCGTAGGGCTTTCAAGAGGCGTAATTCGCCAAATTTGCGCGTAAATTTCCATAATGGTGACCAATCAGTTGATTTTGTTTACGAAAAATTTTTTGGTTACAATTCTTTGTCCCTATTTCTTAACACATTTGGAGCGGAAAACCACGCAAAATAAAAGTTTTTACCCCTTTATAAATTAAAGAAAAGGGTCTACACTCACCCCTCAAACTTCTTCAACATTCCCAACTAGATGTACGTGTCTGTATATAAACTAAAACTGATATATCGCACATCTACGTGTAAAATCCAAACACGCAACTTTGAGTTTGACGACCTTGTTAATTTTTGTTTTGCTCACACCTGCATATAATTTTTCGATTCTCTGTAATAATCTGACATACCAAGCATCGCTTGCTAACGACATATGTGTACAAAATTAATTGTTGAAAATTCAATAAAAACATAATATTGTTAGATGTGAATATCGAAACGATAAACTAAAGTAGTAAAAAAAAAAATATCGTCATTGATTTTGCTATCAAAAATATGAAGCATTTGGAACATCAGTTGTAACGCAAGTTAATAGCGCTTGGTCACAAGAGTGTCAATGACGTTAACACAAATCACGCTGCTAACACATAATAATTAAATTTATTATTATTGTCTACATGTATAAACAGACGCATTAATTAGGAGCGACGGAGAACAATTCTTTCCCGAAACGCCCAATTTATCGCCATTTATAATTAGTACACTCTTCGACTAAAAATTATTAGCCGTTGTTCTAGGAATAGTTTAGGTGCCTATTGCTGAGAAAGCTGGACAAGCTAACTTACAAAAATTGGAATAACATTTATCTGTAGACTAAGCGGACGTTAAAGTATCAGACCAAATAGGAAAGAATAATTCAATTATCGGTGCAATATTTATCTATTTCGGATGTTGACAATTCTTCATACTATATGGATGGGATTTGATTATTGACATTATTGATGGCTTGAATAAAGCTTTGTGATTTTAAATGCTACGCATGTATAATTGTCCTTTATTGCTAAGTACTTCTGTTAAGGAATACTACACATTGAAGGGTAAAATGCTGGTACAGTTGATATCCTCTCATAATACTGTAATGAATACAAACAGATACCAAGACTTTTATCATACAATGTCAAAAAAAGGACGGGGAAAGGCTGGAATACTTCAATTGCAGGTCTATCATGAATGTTTAGTAAACAGAACATATAAGTGACCAAGTTGCATTGTTGGGAACGACTTTAGTGCTATAGATAATGCTAGCGATAACAGCATAATAATAAATAAAGTAACGTACAGTAATAACTTCTACTTTCTTCTAACGCTTAGCTGTTTTGGATATAGTAGTTTTCCTAATCTCTATTACCATCCTCTTCGTAAACCGTAGTCCTTGATCTCTGGTCAGCGCCTCTACGATACTCCTCAGTTTAGAGGTTTCCCTTGACTTAACACTCTATTTTCCATGCGTAGCGGTTAATATTAGCCTAACCGTCATGTCTGATAGATTAAACAGAACACTAATCAATTCCCAAACGAGTCTGATGATTAGTTACTGTATGTGATAGATTCCCCAACCATCAAAACATACACTTTTTTGCCCTAGCGATACAACAGACAGGTTTTTAAATTATCTACCCGTATATACGAGTGCTTTTCACCAGTAATTTAGTAGCGGATAAAGCTCCCACAATCATTACTAAAGTTGAAAAGAACCAACACCGTGCCCATTTTATGAATCTGACAGACAACTAAAAACGATACTAGGGTTAGAACTATAGTTTCTTCGAATTATTTAAGGGTAACAGGGTATGTACTATGAAGTGCTCCCGTCAATTAAAGAATTTATTGTTAATCCGGATACGATCTACGGTATAATTCCTGAAACCGCTGTGTTTCAGCATGCTCCTTGGCAAATTAGTCAATCTTGACTTTTAAGGAAACAGATTCTCAGCACGGGAAATAGCAGATATATAAAATGTCTTCCATTCAATTTCAATTATCAAAATCAAAGTGTTTAAAGTGTTTGAAAGGCAATGACATTGTAATTGATTCAAAATGACATTCTTCTCTTATTGAACATTTCCTGTTTTTATTGTAATTACTTTTCTGGTTCTTCAATCAGCAACCCTCTTCGTTGCTTACGCAAGTGCAAATGAAACAATAGTTTGCATGCGTCCTCTCCGAGGCTTTCTGTATGCTCATTATATTCTTCTTTGCGTTTGTTGCTACTTTCTATTGTTATCCTTATATCGACATTCGACGTCATCAACGCATGACCAAGTCATGAATATTGTGATACTGTCTGTCCCAATTAACTTATCATTAGAAAGAGAATTGAATGCCACCTCTCAAATAAAGGCAAGTAGAAACTTGCAACGTAAGATGTGTGAATATGCCACTTATTATATGCCCCGTTTCAGCATTGTGCTCAATTTTGGTGAGTAATAATGATAACCAGAATAGTATTGGTTTGTCTGCAGTCTGTGTAAATATGTCATAGTAATAGGTCGACGATGTAAAACCAATAAAAAAGGGGATAATAAACGGAGTCTTGTTTTGGCGCATTTGAATATAACTCACCAGATTGAATTTGACCAATGAGAAACAATCACTTTATTTCGGAGTACAAATGTAATATATTATAAATATATTAAAAATATTTCAAGCAATATCTAAAATAACTCATCCTTTCTACTATTGCCATTACTATCCCTATCCCTATCCTTACATCATTACATCCTTTATGACATTCATTGATAGCGTCATCAACAATGCTGTTCCAATTAATTCATAACCAATCAACGTGAAATACTCCAACTGTGCTACTGCGTAGAAGTAGTGCTTCTTCAATAGCAAATTTGTTTGGCTAGCGAGAATGCTAACATTGAGGCAATTATACGTCTTTTTTTAAAACTATAAACGAATTTGTAATGTCTTATGCTATTTATTGTACCGATAAATAAATCGACATGCCAACAATATACATTTCATTCATTCTACAAACCAATTTTATTAAAACTATGCAAGACATGTAAATGTGAAACTATGTATATTGTGTTGTTCTAAAAGCCATGCCCGATGATACCTGCTTATTTTTAAGATGCAAAATAACGATAAATGTTACCAGAACCTTTGCTTATACGTTATATGTTAATGTCCATTTCATTTCATATAATAATAATAGATTAACTTATATAACAAAAAAAATAATATGTATTAAAACATCTTAATGTCGAATGTCTAGATAATAGTTCATTCAACTCTCTTATTGTTGAATTCTACCATTTGATCGAGTCCTGCCTGTTGTATTTCTCCGCCTCTTGCTTTGAAAATACGGATTAAGGAGATCTGTATTCATTTCCTGTACATCCGTTGGGCTGTATCCATGCTGAGCAGTACAGCCATTTATGCATTTTGGTGCCGGTGTAAGTTTAATTGTCGGTATAAAGACATCAGCAGGGTCAGGTACAACAAGCATGTATGATGGAGGACTGGGGGGACGACGTTTCAAAGTCCAAGTCCGCTTAAGAGTAGACGAATCAAAAGGTTGCGTTGTTGTTGCTGGTGTTTTTCGCAAGCCTTCCGGCTTTGTGTTTATCGATAACTGAGCATCTGAATTATATTGCTGTTTACCAAGCGGATTAACCGAATTATGCCGTTTAAGAGAATTTCGTCGTCTGCTTGGGCTTGAGTTTTGAGGTTTAACTCTAGATTCTACAAGTTGCTGTCTCGGGTTGATGTTGTTATTATTTGTGGATGTAAAGTTTTGATCGGGTTGTCCTATCTCTTGGGATATCGACGGAAAAGACGTCTGTTGTCTTTGATGTTTATAACTCGAACCCGAGAATACCCGCCTAAGGTATCTCCTAAGTTTTCTAGCCTTGGATTTAATCATGGTGATATAGTAGTTGTAGTTGCAGATGCAGTTTAAGTTGTGAACGCAAAAAAAATAATGTGGAGGGCTGCTTATATATTTGTGTCTGACGATTACCTAATTTGGTTGTTGTGAAAGGAAATTCGAATTGAATGGTAGTCCCATGGACGGTCAGCAGTGCGTGGCGTTTACGCGTTGTTTGCTAATGGTTGGATGTATTGACGGCGCAGTTATTGTCAAACGTTTTCACGTAAATTTTTTATTCAAATTTCTATTTATATTTACTAAAGCCACAGGCAATACTATGTGACCCGTGACACAATGACTGATCACAATGTTTTTTATTTTACTTGGCAATATGTTATAGCGGGGTCAAAGTTACAACAATACGAGTATGGTTTTATGTATACTTTTCATTATGTTTACGTTTTTAAAGCCATGTATTTTTCATAAACAAAGATTGAATGGCTATATTTAGGAAACATAATACAAAAGGAGTCTTGTGATCACTTTTTTGGTTATAAACTATTTTGGTATAACAAAATGTACGCCCATTGATGCATATTCATATAATATTTATTCTCGGACTGTAATAGTAATACATACTAATTAGGGAAATTGTAAATTAAAAGCCAAGAAGAATTAAGAAGTCGAAGGAACAAATCCTGTACACTAAAACATAGGCAGCTCTTTTGTTAACTATTTCATGCACTGCCACTCCAAAACCCACTCCAAAACCCACTCCAAAACCCACTTCAAAACCCAGCTTGCTTTCAATATATCCGCATGGATCTTTCTTGCTTTCAAGGTAAAAACCGATGATAGACATCAAGCCCCGCACTCGATGGTGTAAAAAGTCGAAAAAATTACGCCAGTGAAAAACAGGATCTTTTATCGGGACAAAAATACAAGTTTAACCGATACCATAGAAGGACAGAAATAAATTATCCGAACAAGTTTAACCGATAATACAATTCAATTATTTATTATCGATATATAGTAATACGGAAGTACTAATTTTGCGGTCATACTGAAAGAAATTTACAATACGATTTAAGCGGAGACATCATTTACGTTACTGCGTAATTCACGTGATATTTGCAAGAACTATTATTTACAGCGGTCAAAGACCGGACTAAAATGTGATATTAATATATACACACAATATAAGTTCAAATAATAATAGGACAACAATAAATCAATCAATGACTCATATACTAAAGCTAAACTAAAAACATTGCTATGACATCCTTCCACAACATTAATAATACAACTCCACAAACGAATATAGAAATATAAAGACATTTCCATAAATAAACTTCAAATACATCCTTACTCATTTCACATATACTTCGTTAAATACTCTAACACCAAATCCACACCTTTTAATCTTATTCATCCACCCGCCATGCGGCTTTTTCTTTTCTTTACACATCTTTGCTTCTCGTGCTCCATCATCATGTAACCATTGTTCAATAATCGTGCACACCTCCTCCGCACTAGGCCGCACGTCTGGATCGTCGGCCCAACATTTCTGCATCAATCGCATATATCGAATGGGTGTACCGACTTGAATGCGAGGCCGTGTTCCGCTGCAAATGTCATGTGACAATTCAGCGTTATATTCGCGATACGAGAACGGATGTGTACCGGTCGATAGTTCCCACATTAATATGCCAAACGCATATATATCAGAGGCCTTGCTAAATCCAAAACCGTATAGAGATTCGGGAGCAACGTACGGCATTACTCCGTTGATCGTTGGTGATGTAAATCGTTCGTCTGCGGATCGACACAATCCAAGATCGCCCACCAATGCGGTAAGATTTGCTTTGATGAACACGTTTCCACTGTGCATGTCGCGATGGACGTATCCTTTGTCGTGTATGATGCGTATTCCGCTTATTATCGAGTGAAGAATGGAGAGACGGGTGGGCCATTCGAGTGTGGAAAAGGAGGTTTGAAGGAATTTACGCAAGCTACCGTTGGCGCAGCATTCGAGAACTAGCATGTATTTGTCGGTTGAGGGATCTTTGGTTATGCCGTAGCAACGCAGTACTCCTCGTGCTTGAGATGAGCATTTTATATTTGTATCGAACTATTAAAAATAAAATGTCGTTTGTTGTTAGCAACGCAACGCAATGCAACGCAACGGTAACCTGCGATCCAAAGTAAAATTCTTTTTACCAACTCCTTTTATCGATTAGTGATTACTCACCTCTTTCATTATCTCATCGAATGACGATTTATTATTGTCGTTCAGTGCCTTCATGACAACTTTAGTACTTCCTGACCTCGTCCAGCCTTTTTTCTCGTCCCATACTTTTCTTGGTCCATCGAGCCATACTCCTTTATAAACTACACTGAAATGCCCTTCATCGTAAAGTTCAACTTGCTCGATTCTGTCATAATTGATCCACTCGACATAATTATATTCGTGTTGTGCATTCAGTTGTGATTTTTGGATGAGAGTGTTGAGGGCAGGTGATGATGATGACCAGGTCGAGAAGAATGATGAAAAATAAGCGGCTTGACAAGTTTGACACCAATTAGGTGTAGAGAGAGCATGAGAGCAGACTGAGCATAGACCAAAGGGAACAGAGCTTTGGGCTATGTGCTTCGAGCTGGATGGAGCATCGTAAAGTAATAATGATTAGGTTGTGACGAATGACAAGGAGAAAAAAACATTGAATGCGTAATGTGATAATTGATGCTGCTTTTGATCAATATGAAACGTTGTCGTTGGTGTTTGTTGATGTTGATGTTGAAGTTGGCGTTGCATTGTCGACATTAGAATAGCCTTGTTGTTGGTATCATCAAAAGAGGCTTGCTGTTGAAAAAAGTTGTTGTTGGACACATGTTGTGATGACGTGATATTTGCATTCACGATGTCGATGTGATATCCGAGTGCGCAGCTGTGTAGTCCTTCTCCGCCCCCAACTCTCAATAATACTTTTTCCTATGCATACCTTTTCTTTGCAAGGAACATCTTTGCTACGCTCTTTACGTGACTAGCTCGTAGTCGTGCCATTGTGAAAAGTATTAATGTTGTGTTTTTTGCAAGAGTTTGGTTGCGTAAAAAAATACGTTTTGGACCTGGGTATAACTTTTTAATACATCTAATATACTGTACCACTTTTGTTACACCAAATTCACACGGTCTGTATATATTTTGTGGCTGACTATTTTGGGATCAAAAACGGGGACTATTGAACTACTCATTTCCGAAAGACCCAGGCCGTGGGACAATGCTCGGGGAACTATGATTATAAGGTCTGGTGGCAAACAATGTGCAATGCGCAATGACAACATGCACAGCATAAATTTATGACGTAAGGCCCCTGTTACATGCTGGACAATCACATTGTGTGAGACGACAATGCTAAAAGACAGCGTTCGTATATTCCGTATCTAGCTATTACTATGCAGACATGCCTATTCGCTTTGTTTCGTATATTCCGTATCTAGCTATGCAGACATGCCTGTTCGCTTTGTTTTAGTCAATTCCGAGTATTTCCAGACCCTCCCAATGTATAACAACAAGGATAGCGAAGTTCCGTTAATAACAGTTCCGTCATACAGATTGCGTATTCTCGTTGCACAAGAATGTCGGGTACTCCTTTTTAATAAGAGGATGCATATAACAATAACAACAACAACAGCAACAACAATAACAATAACAAGCAAGCCAATGTACGCCTTACTGACGGACTAATTATGTATCAGTTAATAGCAACCAGACAATCTTTAACTACATCAAACTGAATAGCATACGCGATCGATGCCGTCCCCACATTCACCCCACCCTCATGATCTTTGTCAATTATGATTAGGCGCTACATTTTTTAGCCCAATGAATGTCGTATTAGATTAATCAGCCCATGAGAAATCTCCAATCAATTTTTGGAAGTTCATTAGGGAAGGACATTGATATTCATGCATTCATTTTCACAGCCCAAACCTATGACGCTGAAAAAGGCAACATTATTTTCTTAGCGCTGATATTGCGCTTTCTAATTCCATCATAATGTTTATTACATAAGATATTTTCTCACGGCTATCGACAATGCCAAGAATCATTGTTGCTAACCGTGTAAATCATGTTAATCGCCATGAGGATTATCAATGGTAAACCAAGAATGCTGCGGCCCGATGTCACGGGCTCTTCGTTTTTCGAGTTCTACAAAGAAAAGTTCTCGAGAGGTAAAGTACGGGGAATATACCATACATGTGACACTGACGAAAATCAACATTCTAAAAAGTCTATATTCACGAGGTGCATTTAGAACGTTCTAATTAGAACGTTTGAATGCAGACTCTGTTTCTGTCTCCAATCAATCTGTGTGAGTTTAATTTAGATCACTGTTATGGCCCCCAGAATGGATTGAACTCCCTAAATAAACATGGCAATCATCTATTAATATGGATGCGATATTTATTATGAAAAAGTCAAACCCAATATAAACGTTCAAATTAACTGTGAGCGTTCGTTCATATGAATTATATTATATCACAAACGCTTGATTTGGCCAGGCTGCTTGCTTTTTGAAATGCTGCTATTGACCAAAATTCATTTTCGAACGTTCTATTTCATCGTGAATGAAGTTTGGCTCCCCTTCTTTTTTCGAGTTGCTTCAGCCCGCATATCCTCAATCTAGTGGGCTTGGGAAACAGAATGCACAAGCCATTACAGATCTGCTGTATCTAATTGCTTGCTAGCGCAAACAAATAAATTTGGATACAGTTTTCCGAGAATGGTATGTCCAATTACAAAAACGGCAACCCCTTCTTGTTGCAATACTTCGAAAGCATCCACTATCACTATCGTTGTATCTGCTAGTGTAACAGATTGTCAACCAAAAAACTGACTACTATTCATTGATGGACGACCACATAAGATACGATAATCTTGTTTTTACATAATTGCAAGGACCAACTTTTCACCGACAGAATGTCACAAGACCTCTACGTCGTTGCACTGGCAGGTTGTGAAACCAATTAATATTAAATTAAGCTTGTTATTGTTGGGTTCCGACTCCAAAACAAGTGGGGGGGGGGGCACGTTGGGTGAGCTTAATATTAATAAACTTAACTATTCATTTGCGGGCCACAGATTAATGATGATAATCTAATAGTTCGTATAACTGTATAATTATTACCTAGTGCTCAATGTTAATATCCGGCATGCAATCACTATTCCAAACCACATGAAGAGCAATTCATTGCAGTAAATTCTAATTAGAATAATCGCACTATTATAAATGGCGGAGCAAAATGCAGCCTAATTAAGTTGCTTTGGGGGGTAAAGCTATTGACGTGCTCTTCTCTTCGTGCAATTCGCTGACTCTGTATGAAAGTTTGGCAATCTCCCTACATTGTTACAAACACATTATCGTTTAATGGTAGGACAAATACTGAAGTACTGCATCGTGTAAATCAATTGTTTATATCACGGACCATGTAAAACGATGAATATAATTCACTTCGCTGTTGTAAAACCGCTTGTTGAACCTCGTATAAATCAATGATAGAATTGGTGTTAATTGTACTGGCAACGAGTGAGGAAGGGGGGTCAGAATGGTCACTTGAAAGGTATCAAGATTCAGTCATTGCAACCCGTAGTCATATGTGTATTAGCACCATTACCGTATAGTACCGAAATCCCACTATTACTATTATTACGGCACACTTAAGGTTGCTAGAGATACACTAGCTAGATTTAGCACATATTCATTGTATCGTTTTTATTTTGAGCTTGGCCAATTGCAACAGAGTATATTTAGCAAATGTCTTATTTTTTGGCCTGTAAATTGGGCAGTGTAGTATTGATAAACGTCATTCTTACGCTGAATCAATTTGGTACGGTATCTGTAATAGAAATGTCAGAGTATTTTTGGCGGCAACAAAAGATCATTATATTACGATAGATATATTTCTTACCAAAAACGTGACTTTACTGCGGAAAAAACGGGAACTTGTCAAAAAACGAAACTTTTACCCTACCCCGCGAATAACCACCAAACACGTGGTCCAAAATCACAAGACAGAGGAGAAAACTATAGACATTATCATTTCTTGCCTGGGATATTATTACTTTTTGGTAACGCAGTTATTGTATCTCGTTAAATACATGTTGATTGAATTGTGTGATCAAATATGAGTAAATATATCAGTCAACGCATCCATTTATTCAGTGGCAAAAATTTACACGCTTATCTATGCATTGCGAAAATTAGAAGTATGTTTTTATTTAAGACCGCCGTCATATACATTTTTGTTTGACAAACCTAGTGTTGGATAAAACTCGTCGTCATGGCAAGTACCTCTGGTACTCTCATTCCGAGCTTGCGGGAATAGAACTGCATCACGTAATCCCCGCCGAAATAAAATTTTTTATTTGAACAAAAGATTCGGTAAATAGTATACAATAAAAAACACGGGAAGATTGAACTACTAAAATTACACCAAGGTCGTTATTGAAATAAATATTTTTTTGAACAATAAATCTGGTAAATAGTATATAATATAAAACACATGATGGGGAAATGGGATAGGCAAGAGGATGTAATAAATGAAGCCATTCTTGAGTGCATGATAAAAGGCGGTTCAGTTGGAAGCATGGAAAGAATTCTGGAAAGCATAAGGTACTTTACCAAAACTATAACGATGTTATCATTAAAGGATGCTGGAATGACGGAAGAGCGGGCCAAAGAAATATTGGATGTAATTAATAGTGGGGAATATCTGATAAGGGTAAAATTGATTAATGCCGACGCGAAAATACTTCCTAACGGAGCGAAAAGCTATGGTTTCAAAATCCGCGATAAATATGTGCCTATCCATGAATCAAGAAAGGCAGGCAGTAAATACATTCAAATATTATAATAACAAAAAAGACAAAACTAGGATTGTGGGTAGGAATAGACGCAAGATTTCTGATTAGAAAGGATTATCATGGGGATATTGAGGGTAATGGTATATAGATTGCACGCCTACGAAAGACGGAAAATTAAAATTGTGTAGCACAGTGGATGATAGAGCATTTTAACACACCAAAAGAGGACACGGACTTGCTGACATTCGGCGACAAAAAAATTAATAAATGGGAAGAAAAAATTGCGAAATCCTGGTGCAATAGTTCAGGATGTAGCGAAATACCCAAACGGCCAATTAAATTACTCGACATTGCACTTTTCGATAGCGGAAAACAGCATAAAAGTCATCACGATAACCACATGTCTAGACAAATATCCCGACTCTACGTATTTCTTCTAAAATTCAGGAAAGTTTAACGCAACGAGCATAGTGTTATCTTGGCGTCATATCGAACTTTCTTAGTTCAGCGATTTAAGTATTAACTTAACTTATTTGCAACGAAATACAAGTAACTCGTAAAATTATAACATTGTCATAGGCTAACTAATGATATCGAAGTTTCAGTGAATTATCCAGCAATAATAATTCTCAATGGTTGATTAACAGTCGAATATCCCGTAAGAAATATTCCCATTCACCCAACGTGAGTCGTACCCAGGCGAGACGTTATCCATACTCATAGGTTGAGTTACTTCTTCGATATGTTGAGTGAGATAAACTCCGGCGAACGATAAATTGTTTTGTTGCCAGACCATAATACGTCTTTCTATACGCACTAGAGATAATGATAAACACTAACTCTCTTTCACTTAACACCATCGGTATTAGCCTTCTTCATGTTGGTTAAGAAAGTTACTAAATGTTCGCCACAAAGGAACACATAGTCAAACCAATACGTTACGAGCAGACGGAAAGATGCGCCTTGTTCTTGTTTTGACACAATAATAATATTAACGCGACATCTTTAACTCTTGTTTGAACGTCGGTCTTCTCAGCGAATAGTATTGCTCTGCTTTATTAATTGTAAACCTTATTAGCAAACTATGTCGCTCCGTTGTACGTTAAACACAATTCTTCTCAGTGAGTGTAACGATGTATAAAACGTATGATTTCTTCACCACTTTCGTTATGAGAGGTTAGGAGATTTCAGAAATTGCATTTATTATCCTTCATTCGAACGAATCAATTTCAATAATGGGAATATCGATGTCGATCGTCGATTTTCGTTAATGCAGGGTATTTACAATTAGTATTAGTATTAGGGACGGTTCGGTAATCAGGTATTGTTTCAGAACAAGGGTTAGAACTCATTTTTGTGAACATGAATTCTTCCAGTGAGATCTCAGCTCTGAGCAGAGGTCGTTTTTATCACTAATTTCTAACTACTGCAATATGAATTATCCAATAAAAATAAGCTAATTCGGACGAAATAATCTACAGGTGATCATTTTTTTTTATAATTTAGAACTTTAATCAGGTGATCATTTCCGCCGTTCATAGAATAAGAATTTATTGAATTACAAACTTAAAACGAGCAGACATGGAACGAAACCAGCTATTCGTTTCTGTTATGATATGTCAATTTCACTGGAATAACTCAACACTATAACTATGGCAACTGATTCCAACTGACTATGGTGTGTCATTCACTCCACCAACAGCTGAAGAGATTAATCTCACTCATTTACATTATGCACATTTAGCAAATGCTCTGGAACCAAATTCTTTTCTGACTTTTTTAGATTTAAGTGAAAATAATATTAAAGACACAGGAGCAGCAGTTTTGGCAAAAGCTCTAGAATCAAATTCTTCTCTGACTTCTTTGGGTTTGAGTAACAATGATATTGGGACACAGGAGCAGCAGCATTTTATTTATCGTGGGTAAGATTTATTAAAACTTGTTAAATGTTTTTTCCCCTAAATCGTTAATTATTACAACGAAGGAGTAAAGGGGGTCTCGGGTATTTTTTTCTCCGCCTTTTTATATAAAAAATTACAGATCAGAATTTATTTATAGACTTGGGCGGGAAAGGACGAGGAATTACCAGAACTTTTATTGCAAAAGCAGGCCTATAGTGACGACTCAAAGAGTCATGGGTACCCCCCGCGCTTTACGTCAATTTTTACTACAATACAATGAAATATGAAGTTAGTATTAATATCACCATCTCCGATAATAATTCCAAATGTGGGTATTCACCTCCGTGAATAGTGTGAATAGTGGACCAATTCAAATAATCAATCGATCTTCTAACTAACCCAATTAATTAATAATTTCACCTTCGATCTGCGTACGGAAGTAGCTTAGCTAGGTAAGTAACTGTTTACCGGATATAGATTTCATGTAACTAACCAATCGCAAAAATAAGAATATGTTAATTTTAGATAAATTGCATACAATGCTCTAAATTAGTAATTTACGGTGGAGTTCACAACTCAATAGGTATATAAATACTTAAAACTATACTACATGCACCATTATTGCTCATATCCAAAAGAAAAAGGTACGTTTATTTGCTTGTCTTGCCGTAAAAACATTAATGAAATTCTAAATAATGAGATCTCTATATTTGACAGAAAATGGTTAAAGATAATATCCACCTCATATTTCTTGTCATTCCTACTGGCACATTTTTTGGGTATCGAAGTACGCCGAATGGAATTTCTATTTCTAAGAATGAATCTGTCAACGCATTACATACTAAAATCTGGGATTACTACTTCAACGAGTACGGAAATGTTTTAATCTTCGTGCAGTCAATATTGAACGTAGAGAATATGTGTACACCCCCCTGACAAAAGTATAAGTACGAGACGAAATTTTACTAGTAAAACATATGAAAAATCTTTATTTTCGAAAATCTCTATTGTCCATATGTA